TTAAGGATCAGTGTGTTGTTGATAGTAATTTATATTAAAAAAGAAGAAACGGCTAGTTTCAAAGCCTACGGACGTCCTAATATATGTCTATTGCGGCTGAAAATTTTCGGGCTAGCCGCGAAACCCTTGCGTTTTTGCGCATTTTGAACTCGGCATTTTGTAAAAAAAAAAACTCCGAGTTTTGCCTTTTATCGCTGTCAGGCCACCATATACTGTCTGAAACGAAGCATTATCTGGATTCGAGTGTCGTTCATTTGAACTATCATACACCAAAGTTCTGTCAATAGATGGCCGAAGGGCACCGCTGCTGTAGGGAAACTTCTGACATCTCACTTCACTTTATCTCAGAGGTTTTGCTAGCTCGTAGAAATGACTCAGCTTACTGTGAATTCAGTGTTCGGCAAGAAATTATCTTGTATTTTCCGCACGTCTTGTGGCACTTTCTCCGCAACGAACGTCCAAAATGTGACTTTTGACTTAGCATCATTTTTTCTATGAATTTTCTAAAGTTGCCTGTCCTAGATAACATGGCAAAGTACATATAAACTTTATTTAAAACCACTGGAATCTGTTGCTTTTGTTTAAAATTGGCCTTGTATGAGAATATGAAACTTCCTAAAGACCTGCATTTCAATAAGAAGGAGAATTAAATTACTGTTTCTCATATCTCCATTGTTTTCGTAGTGTTTTCCCAATCTCAGTTTATCATGAGAAGTGGATTATAATTCATGATTTCAATGCCGTGGTTTCAAGTGATCCAATTGCTTGAAAACTATTGTAATTATCGTCAGGCGCAGCGTCATCAACGAAACTGTTTGGAGGAGTTCACATTCGGAAACACCATGACGTTCTGGAACGTTATATAATGAGCGTATGACGTTGGTAAATGCCTCTCGCATAGTGAAGATTAGCAAGTTTTAGGCCCATTGTCTAGCTAGCCGTGTGATTATGGGATGCAGGTGATGCAGGATGGCGAAATCGAGGTGATCCGACGGAAAACTTTAAGCCGGATCTCCGGTGGCTTCGCCCGCAAGCAAGAACTCGCTAGCGGGATCGCCGTGCCAGCGAGTTGCATTAAACATTATGCGATGAGAGATCGTCACCTATACAGAGAGTATTGGGCACGAAGAAACTCGCCTTTATGCGCCCTATAAGGCGTCGAAGACAATGTCCAAGCGAATGCCACCTAGCTAAAAGTCCTTTCTTCGCCTCGCCTCCTCCACGCCCTCGCCCGCCCCACCACGGAATCTTTCGGCTTCCTCCGACGCCGCCCATCATCGAGACGATACGCATAAAAAGGCTAACACTGCTTCGCTGCTGTTTCTGTTTTGCATCTATGGCCGTTACAGTACGTTGCGATACTGAAGGAGTGATTGTCCAATAAGTCGTTTGAAGTTTCCGTACATCTAGAAACCTTTTTAATTATCGCTTCAACAAGAGGTTCCTTCTGGCTTTTCTCGATATAAAGTCAAAATCTTCCGAATTTTGCTCATTTTGTATGCCCTTGATGAAGTTATCAAGTATGGACTTGCACTTATTATGAACTTCTATCTTTCTTTTACTTTTGTTTCAAAGCTTGAGAGTCACTTTTCTATCTATTTGTCATCATATCTAATCTGCCATAATCAATTTCATTTAGTTTTTCAAGAAAGGGTAGGATTTCCTTTAATCACTGCATCCAACTCGTTGCTAAAATTTGAAGAGAATGGTTATGTGAAGCAAAACTAGCTGATGTTCTTTGTCAATTAGTAAGAAAAAAACCAGAGCTGAATATTTGAGATTTTATAAAGGGTAAAAATGCAACCTAGCGATAAGCTCTTTTTTCTAAAACACATTTTTCAATATTCTATAGTGTGGGACTACTACGCGGGAGATAACGATAAGGCTACAAGTTTTGAATTTGACAGAACTGGAACCTTTTTCAAATGGTTAATATCATCTGGCAGTTTAATGTGAAGTGGTCAGAATACAGTTTTTGATATTTAATCTCAATCTAAAAAATATGGGCAGAGCTATTGATGCTAAATCTTATGATTCTTTCTTGTCGTTTTGGCGAAAAAGAAGTTAAATCTTCCTTTATTTGAAATTGTCCTAGTCAAAGAGGATGCGACCTTTTTTAAACGAATTTTTCGTGTTGTGGATTCTAGACTAGAAGGAATGATTGAGCGTTAGGTTGGAAGAAATTCTACAGTATGGAAGTATTCTAAAGCAACTCTCTTCATATTTTGCTCTGAAGTTGAGATGATCTTGCCTAGGGACAAATTATATTGCGCACCTTTAGATATCAACTCTGGAAAAAGTACAGTTGTCACTAAACAAACCTGTTGCCATGTGTCTGATAGTATTTTTCGACCCATATTGCTCTTGTGAAAATACAATTCAAAGCAAGAGAGAAAGTAAAAGTTTGAGTAGAAGCAATAGTAGTGACACGACTTGTCTACGAGGGTCTGTAAGTTTGAACAATTAATCAGAGCAGAATGGCACGTGCCATAACAGCAGCCGGCTCTCCTCCTTATCAAAACCAGTCTGCGCATCGAGACATCATCCCAGCTTTCCCTAGCCATCGTCCAGCGATGCGGTCGCGACGTCGCCATCATCCTTCCCTCCTCATTCTGCTTTCGATTTCAGCGATCGTGCTAATCGCATTTATCCACATATGAGCATATACCCATGCTATGTTGGTGTATCCACCGCGAACATCTTCCCAATGCAGCTGTCTGGTTTCCTTGCGTGCGCCGCGTGTTTTGTCGTATGTATGCGCGTATTGCGAATTACGTACGATATCGATCGTTGACGGTGACGTACATACGACGGTATGTATCTATGGGATCTTTTTCCAAATAAGATCGCCCTCAATAAATTGCTAGGGCATCGATTCTGTGTATTAGTCGGCGCCGCCAACAGCAAGCTTTTGTCGCATGTCGCGCCAGACATGCCATCGGATCGCGCTAGGTCATTGTTAGATTACAACTTTGTGGGTGGGATGGGTTCAAGCAGTCGCAATCGCGAATTTAATATGGATGCTGTACAAACCGGCCGCTCGACCGGATATCGCTTGAGATGCGCAATTTAGGATCGCTTCGATTCCCTTTGCTACAGGTGACACACTGCCCTCCGGGAAAATTGATTTTCTTTCTTTGGAATTGCCAATTATTACGTCCTTTCTCAAGCTTTTATCTGCCTTCGTGTGCTACCATAAACCGTTCATGCTCGCCTCGCACACACTCCTTTTGCCGGCTGCCGTAGAGACTTAGCGTACATCATAAGGCGGAAGGATGGTGACTGACCGCGTGTTTAAACCTGCCAGCATATCCCCTCTTCAATCGTTGAACTGAACTTTCCCAATGGATAACCTCTATGTATGAAACATTACCGTGTCCTTTGGAATGGCGCCGTCCTAGGAACTTTCCAGTTAGGTCCGTCCTCTCTTCTGCTCTTTCTCCATTTTTCATATCTGACAACAGCTAACACATCACATACTTAGTTTTGCCTTCTAGTCGCGCTGATGTTACGGTTTATTTTTGACTGTGCAGTTTGTGAAATGTTCATTGCAGGTCGGTATGGTTGAAAACTTGGTCGAGCCTCAATGTGTTCTTATCACGGGCGGTTGTGGATTTATAGGATCAAATTTTATAAATTTTATTGCTGATCGTTGGAAATCGTCCAGGTGAGAATTTATTCCTTTAACCGATAAGTATTCTTTGTACCAGTCGTGAAAATCTTTTTTAGTACCGGTTTTTATGAATATCTCTCAATTTAAAATCCTTAATCAGA